ATTTTACTGCCTCTTTGCAAAGAGTTTGGGTGCCGTCACAAATCTGAAGCTGAAGACTACTGCAGATTAGGCTAATCTGGGCTGTGCCAAATGGTATTAAATTACTGATGACAACACTTCACGAATAGGGAAGAACAAAAAAAAAGAAGGTTATCCTTCCTTGACTTCAGGGAGATTATCCAAATCTATCAGCATGTGCCGATGCGCCAAACGTGGAGCCATGAGGGAATATACTCGTGCAGATTCTATCATCTACTGCATGTGGTCAACAGTCACCGACCGTAGATTCCAACAATTCAGTGAGACCATATGCTTTGTTTACACCTTGTCGGAATCCAAACCTTGTTCATCTCTTTTACAGCTTGACCTTTTCACAAACTTCACCTGTACTGGGTTAAGTTAAGCAGTCTCCTCCTGCCTGATGCCACAGATGCAGGGCTACTGCATCGGCACATGTGTAAGTGGTTGGACAGTGTGTTCACTGTCAATCCATGGCAGAGATCAAAGATAAAGAAATATGTCTCTGAAGATTCCAGCTATCCTTTGATTCTTATAGTATGCCAACAATCTTTGACCCACCTACTTCTTCCATATCCCTTTCAAATCCGTGTCCATTTCAAGTTCCCTGTCGATTTGGTTCGTGGATAATTGATTGAAGCATATACTAACTCGGCACAAACATTTCCAGATACAATAACTACATAAACTGGACCTGCTTCGGAGGATTGAAGAGGAGAAAGTGGAAGAAGATAAACTTTGTCAATGGACTAGATTCCATTTACAGCAGACAACAGCTTCTCATACATGTTATCTTCCACAGGCCAGTAGCACCCACTCAAGGCCAAAGTCATGGTGTGCATGGAGTTAGATGACAGATTGTGAGACAAGTAGATGCTACATAGACCGAGATTCGTTAAGAGGAAATGAGTCTCTTGAGCTTGATCTGATCAACCCTAAGTTGTGCAGTATCTTCTCTGATCTGGACCTGAAGAGGCTACCAAATGAGAATTTCCCAGTGTTTTCTGTTGAAGAATTTGGATTCGCCTCATCCTTCACCTGCAGAATCGTCTGCCCGATTTCGTTCCTCACTGCCTCAATCATTTGGCTGCAAACAGGATTTCCTGATGAATCTGTGACATAGAACACATTGATAGCTTGAGATCCCCTTGTAGTGACCTCAGCTCGGCTGACCGAGAGCCCGTTCTCCCTAAATATGCGAGTGACATCGGATAGAAGGCCAACCCTATCTTCACAGCATAGTTCAAGTTTTACACCCTGGTCATAGTTACGGAAGCATACTGATATTAGACCATTAAAGTTAGAATAAAAGGAACAAAAAATTTTTGATTCAGGATTCAGTCAGACCTCTGTATTTCCTCTTCGGATTGCAGCCTCCAAGCACAGAATTAGTCTTTGCCTTTCTCCTTCTGAACTGATGGGGCTTCCATCGACATGCCGAATGTAATACTCCTAATGACAAACAATTTAAGAGAATTAACAAACATTTCAATCACTCATGCATATATCCTGGATGCAATCTTGTTCATCATGATGCTGGATGGTATTAAATGATCATAATGAGTTGGCGCAAACCTGATATGCTTCAGGCCCTTCAGCAATGACAGTTGCATGAAACACCACATACTGCATATCTGTGAGAGTGCAGACTGTGTCAAAGAGTAGCTTTGGCCGATCTTTACATCTCAAGTTCACCATCGAATACCCTTTCTCGGTACAATTCTCTACGGTCACGACTGGCTTGCTCCGATCACTTGTGGCGTCTTCACCATCTGTGTCATCCTTGTCATAATCCCTATCAGCATACAACATCTGATGCAATCTCCTCTGAGTATGAGTAACCCCCACGGATATTGCAGTCTTTGCACTCTTGTCTCTGTCGCCTTTGAGTATGTAGCGCAGGAGGCGTTTGACCTTAGCAAGCCTATCGCTGTCATCAATTGGTCCTCCATTCACTTCATCTGTGATGTAAACAACCGATGCCATGCGTGAATTGTGTGTCCAGACTTCGGCTGCCACGACATTGCACTTGAGGTCCACAAGAACTGCAAATATCTCAGATAACAGCCCTGGCCGATCTCTGCCTATTAGTTCGATCGAAGTGTGCTCTGAAGAGGCTTGTATGCCTACAGATCTTCTCAACGACCAGGAGCTTAGTGCCCTTGTTGATAGTGACTGCAAGGTGGACAGTTAATCACTAGAGCATGAATTCTAAAGCAAGGAAATGATGACTAAAATTTTCTTTGATGAATGTAATATTAAGAGGCAGCTACTCTCAAACAATAAGACTCGATACACACTCTACCAAATGGAACTAGTTAGTATCAAGTTTCCACTCATATGGGAAGATCATGACTTCAACTTGGTGTAATTACTAAAGATGAGTATTACTGAAAATAACAAGTTTTACATCTTTGACCCAACTGAAAGCTACAACTTTGGCATCTTTTCTATTCTCTGTTCTCTGTAAGCTTCAAAAATCTTATAGCAAACGAGTAAGTATTTCAGCCTACTGGAGAACATGTCCAACGCACAGAATATGCTAATTAGGCCAAAAAAATTGAATGGATCCAACTTCTGTACTGCAAACTAAGCAGTTCATGGTTGATTCCCCCCTTCTTTTTTTTGTTGCAAAGCAGACTAGTGATTTCGAATGACAAATAATTTTAATATACATACCTGTTGAATACGGTCAATGACTTCATTATCATAGATTTTATTCCCACACTGGTCAACAACATGGAACACTGCAAACATCAAAGGAGGAAAACAAATGATATAGATCAAGGAGAAAGATGGGTAAGGAAGACCATACAACACAAGGGAATGGAGGAGCTACCATCCATAAACCACTCTCCATCGGAAGAGATGTAAGCCCTGCTGATGCTTAGGTTGAGATCAGTCAAGACCTGCACCACATCTAACAAGCTCCCGTGCCTATTAGCACTGGCCACCTGCATTGAAGCACACAATTCAACCCTCAGAACACACAAAGCCATCAACAGAAAGCCCAGTCACCCAAAGGGAAAAGCCACAGCCGAGCAGCTGACCTGCACCAAGGTGGCCTTCCTGCTAGAGGTATTGTCCACCGTGACCCTGAAAGATTGGGAGCTTCACAAACTTGCAGAAACCACTTCAATTCAAACGAAATGTGAACGGACAAGGGAGAAGAGTTCTTTACCTTGGAGGGTTCAGCTGAATCACCAACTTTTCATACTCATCATCAATGTCAGCCAAAGAGCCACTGTCCATCATAGCTAGAACAGTTCTTGTACTTGTTCCCAGTAGCTGGAGAGGACTAGACTAGCAGGAGAACAAGAGAAGAAGCTAATGGAACAAAACAGGCTCCCCTTGTTCTTTCTCAACAGTAGTACTGTTCCTTTTCTAGTCATCTATGCTATCTCACTCACTCCCTCTGAAAGGCTATGCCTTTTTTATATTGCTGTGCTTGTGTGTTCCCAGTGGCCCTGTGGCTGTTGGTGGCCCTTGGCTCGGGCAAAGGGTAGGAGGGGGCAGAGGGAGAAGAAAAGGCTGAGAGGAGGGATAAAGAAAGTTTTGTTTTGTTTGGCTTGTGTTCCACAAAAAGGTGGCTCACCATACCACAACACATCATGTGTGGATAGGTCTGTGGGGGGGGGGGGGGGGGGGGGGGGGGAAGGATGGGGAGAGGGTCCCGTCACCCGCCTTCCAAAAGTGGTCTTAGGGTTATGGCCAAATGCTTCAGGTGGGCAACTGTTTCATCACCAGAGTGACTCTTAGTACCTTGTTCTTCATCCCCCCCCCATCTTAACCATAATCTAACGCACCAGAGACTGATCTGGATTGTGTGGAGTAGCTCTCCTTTGTTTGTATGGATTCCATTCCCTTTCTCCATCCTTTTTATCTGGGTGAAGAGATTCTCCATCCTGTTTAACCTTTACTTCATTTGAAGCATTGTCTATCGATGCTTGAACTACAAAAAGAAACCATATCCTTCCTGAGAGGATTGGAAGTGACAAATACAATAATCCATTTACATTGTGGAATATATGATGCAAAATTTGTTGGATTAGGCCCAGAACCAAGGTTTCTTGCTTGACCAAAATTGAAGGATGTGACATCTGAGACATTAAGACAAATAATATTTCCACGGAATCTGACAGATCACAGAACACTTTTTCTTTTAGATACTAACAAAACTATACTTCCACTATATCTAAAAGCAAACTATTCCTTGCCTTTTACCCAAGAATAAATCAAAAGAAACAAAGGTAGGCAGTGTCAAATCATGCTCCAAAATGAGGTATACAATATTAGCAAAAAAGAGTGGGCATGATCAAACTGTTTTTCCTAATCCAATTCTTGAAATAGGTTGTTGAAAGATTTTTATTAGATTTGGCAATCCTTGTTAACAATGATTGGGGAATGATTGTTAAGCCCATCAGTAGGAGAACTCAGATGACATATACTTCAAATCTGTAATTGTTTTGAAAGAGCAAGTGATCCAAGCTGCCCTCCTGTTGAGCAATCCATATCCTACTCAAGATGGAAAGTGGATGTATCTTCCAATTTAATGATTTCAACCAAATATAATGAAAAAAATGGAAATATACAACCAACCAGCAACTTTGTTAGCATAACAAGCATGCAGGGCAAGTGCTGCAACCAGAGAAACAGTATCAGAGGAGGCCTGCTGCTACTACAACTATCATTAGGATGCTGTAACTATCATTTGCCACATTCTAAACACACACACACAGACAATTATTTGCCATTTCACCTTTGCAATACTTCACAACTGCTTTACTTTGATGGAATAAATCCACACTGAAAATTTATAATCTAAAACATTTAACGTTGTTTTAGATGAGTTGTAATTCTTGTAGCACTAGTTGTAATTTTGCATTGTTAAAGTTCTTCTTAGATTTAGAGCTCATTCTTGAGCTGATAGATAAGTCTGCTATCAGCTTTGATAATTGTATGAATTCTTCAACCTTGCTGTCAAAGAAGGTTCAGGTTCTATGCAGAAGAAGAACAAAACAAGGAGGAGGCCCATGCTGAAACAGTTTACCAGCGATGAAATAGTCATCGGTAAGATCATCTTCTTTGACTTGCTTTAGCATCTAAAAAAATAATGCAGGATTTCCCTTGGTGTGATGCATAATAAGAAGCAAAAGACAGCAGGTATTTTGATCAAGAAAGGATTCACTGTCAGTGCTGCCTGCAATCTCTGGTTGGTAGAAGAAGTCTTTTGGTGGAGCTGTTTGGCATAAGAAGAGGGGGCTGAGCATCTGCTGGTGCAGCGAGAATGAACAAGAAACATCCTGTGAGCTGCCATCTTCATAAAGATGCTTGGATCTTGTTTGGTTCATTGGGTGAGAGACCTCTTCTTTCCTGTTGTTCCTGAATAACATTTGTGCATTCTTTTCTTTCATTCAGTGATGGGATAGTAATACAATTTCACATCACAACATGGTAATTATTTGCAGGAAATGCAAGTGAAACTTCCCCATTTCATACTTCCAACCTTGCAGTATGTCACAGAAGGTAACCAGTTTAAGGTTTCTTCGTCGTGAAACAGCCGCATCACTGGCTCAACTAGGAATTCAATTAGATCCAAGAGGTGGGTCTTCCCAAAACCTTGAATAAGATTAGAACAAAAGAATACTTATGGGCTTGATTATACTGATCCAGGAGAAAATGAGATCCTTGGTAAAAGTTTGAAAAGATGTATGGCAGTGAAGTGTGAACTTGTATCAAGTGTAGTATCAAGTGAAATGTAGAGACAAAGATATGATTGAAAATTGATATACACTGTAACACCTGATATATTTAGATCAATATTCCTCAAGGATCCTAATCCTTCTTCCTTTACCTAAATTACATGAAATATTTAATAGCCAATATCAATGGTTTCAAAGCGAAACCTGCGAGTACTTCAAAACTGAGGAAATAAGAAGAAGAACGCAAGAGACTGCAAATCTTAGTCAACACCAATTAGAGCAGAAAGCTTACTTGCCATTAGGTTAGAAACCGAGAGAGATCACATATCACTTCTTAATGGTTCATAAAGAGATTTCAAAACCCCTCTTGGCACAGTCATCTTGTCCTGCTTCTAGTCATCAAACATCCATCGGAACCTTCTCATGTTTATGCTGCTTATTCATCATTCCCCAAGTCTCCTTTACTAAAAACATAATACACTTGGAAGTTGGGAGTTACACGACAACCTCAGATAAATCACTATTAAATAAAGATGTCACTCGTTGATCTATCATGCTCCTCCGTATATTAATTTATTACCTTTGATACTATCTGGTGCAATGCAAGGAATCCACATTCAAGAAAAATAGGACATCTTTTGTGTTTTAAGTATATGTGATGTTGACAAGTAGCGAACATCAACAATAGATTTGTTAGTTCTTCCATGAAGTTTGATGGATTCTTTTGTTCATCTTATTTCACACTAAAATTCAATGTTCTTGGCATCTGTTTAGTTCATTGTTAAAGATTTTGACTCCTCTTAAACCCTCCCTGAATGGTCTGCTATAGTGTTCAACTTGATTTCTTATCATTATCTTCTTCTTTTACTCCTGTATTTGATGAATATACTTTATAGCACTTCCAAATAAATAGCGAAAGGTATCTCCTACACTGCAAAGTGCAAACAAACATGCTCAAGAACACATCTAAGTTCGAAGGGTTTATTTTATTGCATGACTTTGGATCTTTCATAAACATAAATTTCAGTTTGACCTGCTTCTTCCCTAATCAAATTTAGTTAAGAAATAAAATGGGGGTGGAAGAGAGAACAGACATGGCCTCTCTCAAGACATGCGAGCGCTGAGCAGTAGCAAAAAAAAATCATAAAAAGGAACCACAGGTACTAAAGTGATGATATCAGAAGCAATTCTTATTCTTGAGGCAACAAAAGTCAATTTACCAATCCACCTAACCAAACAACAAAAATTTCCAAATGGTGCTTTGAACTTTATATACAAACCTCAAGATAAAATCCTTACTTTAATTCCCTTCCAAGCATTTCAGCTGCATGCATCTGCAATCAAAACTGACATCTAATCATCCAAATTATTCTCAACTAATGAAATGGTTTCAGCAACTAAAGAATCAAGAGAGGACATTACCATTGATTAGGGGCCCTCTTGTGATCTCTTGCATGCAAAGAGGAGGCAGAACCAACTCTATGCTTAAAACCAAGTGCAGATAACATCAATCACCATCATCATCTCTCTCTCCATTACCTTTGAACAAACAAGAGAACCATCCAACAAACAGAACAAGAATAACAAAGGAATTCTATTATCTCCTGACAAATCTTGTGCATCTCTCACCCAATTCTCCTGCAAAACCCCCCTCCTATTCTGACCTTCCTTATTCTGCAGACACCTCTGATTTTTCGTTAGGAGTAGGAGATTTTTGATGTTGTTCTTGTTGCACCTGCTGATGCTGATGCAGATGCAAATGGTCACTGCCCTGCCCTATATGCTGATAGAATTGACTCAGTGCCTGAGGATTGAAAATCCTAACTTGCCCATGTTGTGATAATCCGAGCTCCAATCCGGGCATCGGCGGCCTCTGGCCGCCCAGCAATGACGTGAAGCTCATTTGATTGGGATTAGTTCCAGGGAATTCCAAAGCAGGAAATCCAATTCTCGGCAAATTCGATGCCACAGGCATCGCGGCTGCCGCCGAATGGAAGAAACTCGTGTCGAATCCGTCGACCGGCGGCAGCCACAGTTCTGGGTGCGGCCGCCCGAACGTGGCCCAGTTGACTCTGCTCTGTCCTGATTCTTGAAACTTGTTGTGGTGCAGGCCGGAGGACGCCGTGGCGGAATCGGCCAGATTGGTGCTGGCGGCTGCGGACGACGACGTGAGGACAGAGGCCGGGATGGTTCCAGACCCGGTGGCGGCGATGATGGAGGATTCGGCCTGCTGGAGGAGCCACTGGATGGTCTCACCGTCGGATTTGTGGCCGAGCTCCCGGGTGAGCTGGAAGATGCGCGCGGCGCAGAGGGCGGGCATGCGGACCCTGCGGCCGCGGCCGTCCACCTTGGTGTGGCGGTCGTTCTTGGAGTTCCGCTTCGGCGCAAGGTGACGCCTTTGTTCACCTTTCTCTGCCGTGACCGCCAGGTGGGCGTTTCTGTTGGGCTGGGAGGTCATATCACTGCCTTGAGGACTCTGCCTTCTTCGTAGAGTCCTCTTCTAACAGACCGTAGCAGGCCCAGTGCCTAATGGAAGCTGCGAATTAGCAGAGGCTTCATGATTCATCGGAGACGGAAACAACTGCCGGGATGTATATGAAATAGAAAGCAAAGTGATGGAAAGTGTGGAATTTGGGTTGTCAGGGATGGAGATGAAGAAAAAAGTTCTTTTTTGTATAGAAGTTGAAGTATGGAGTGACAGAGATGGCGATGAAGAGGGGAAAACAAGAATGAATTTGTGCAAAGATTGCAGTTTGGGTCTGAGAAAGGCCTCAGAGGAGCAGAGAGGTCCAGGTGCTAGGCTTTCATGGGCATATTGCCTGGGAATGTCAATGCAGTCGGGGAGAAGGGGAAGAGAGAAGCTTACTTAAGGGAAACCGGATGCCAACGTCTCAATCTACTGCTTTGTTTGGCTCTCACTTGGTGGGTCTTCTTTGTCTGCTTCCTCGACTGTTTGACCTGATCGGTCGCCCGTCATGCCCAGCTCAACAGACAACAATGCCATGGATAAAATTCCCTTGATCGTTCTTTCCTGGAGTCCTCGCTTTCTCTGCTGTGTGTTACAAGATGGACATCATGGCTGCACCATCTTTTCATGGTTGATTTCCTCTCTAAACATCATTATCTTGCAGGATTAGTGCATCTTCAGCACCAGAGGGTTCTTCTGTTCAATACAGATATTTTTAGACCCTTGTTGCCACTGTAGAAAGCTGACATTTTCCCAGAAAATGATGAAGCTGACGACAGAGAAGAATGGTTCAAGGGAATGTTTTTTTGTGACAATTCAATGTTTTTTGTGATTTGTCTGTCATTAAGCCGGATCTTGACGGTATAAGAGATCCCATCTTATGAGTACTTTGATATCCAATTCAAACTTGGTAAAAACCAGAAATCGGAAAGATTTGAGAGAATGGTATCAAGTTTCATTGCGCGTGTGGAATCATTCATCCTGTGTTTCTCTTGCCTCTTCCTTACTGGAAGAGAAGCATAGGATCCCAGGGACGATGGTCAGCATCAAAGACGATGACTCGATTTAAGAGGCTTCTTGTACTATTCTGCAACTCCACTTGGCAGGATATCTTTGAAGATAAAGATGATAAAGACATTGAAAACAACAGACAATAAAAACCTTCTTTTCAATACAACTTTTACTTTCTGTCTCTATTTTCATGATAATTATTTTGCTAAGAAGAACAGACATATGTGTCTTTCTGATCATTCGATTGCCTCATCGGTTTGATTGTTGGATTTCTGACGTGATGTTTCAACTAGCTTGAATAGAAAATTAGAACCGAGATAGGTAATAAAAGATCATCTTCGTGAAATGTTTCTCCCTAAAAGTTATATCCATTCTTTGTATTTCTCCGCTTTCAAGTCACTGTAAACTTTCCGATCATGAATTAGTTCTTTCTGTGGGTGACATCCAAGTCAAAGGAATAGCCTTCGATCTTTACTCCACTCTCTATCATGATACTCGCGATATCATCAACTTGTTCTTCCCCACAAGTATAGCATCTAGAAAGAGGAAAAACTCAAAATGATCACAACAAAAATAATGTATATAAAAAAGGATTTGGCGTCACTGACAGCTCCCCCCAGGCTCATCCTTTCTCTTCTTCTTTGCATTATAAGATAACCTTTAGAACCTGACTGGATGTTACAGTAACATGCAGAATGATGCTGACAACTTCTTCTTCTTGTTCTTCTCTCTCTCGTGCAAAGACGTGCCTTCTTTTCCCACGCTGAGAACATGGAGGGCCTGCTCTACTCGAGAAACCATGGGAGGAGTAGGTTTGACTTGCCACTCGAGATCACATGACACCAAGGAATAAATATGATGGATCTAATTACTCTGTGAGGTGGAAGAACATTCTGGGTTGGATAAGCTTCACACTCCATCTGTAAGGTTGGAATGTGGAACAAGCTTCGGTAAGCTCTGTTTCATCAAAATGACTGTTTTGGAAGGTACTCCAAAACCTTTGCTTACTTACAAACCATCCATTCTGCCTCGAGATTCTCGCACGCGTTGATCCCTGGCAAGCCGCTTCCTGATACGGACGGCCGGGATGACGTTTGATTTGTCGCGCCATATTGCCGCGCGCATATTGTGCACGACTGTGCTCAAACCGTGGAATCACCGTCCATGCCCTCCGGATTCGCAATTGCACGACTCGCAAAGCAGATTCGATGCTCCACCCGTATAAGTCACCCAAAGGGGAGGGAAACCCCAACACGCTCAAAAATAATTCCGCAGGAGAATAATTCCAGAAAAGAAAGAAAAAGAAGGAAACAATATGCGGCGAAGGTATCTCCGGCTGCCGAGCTCCTCCGACGAGGACAACGACCTGCGACCCCAAACCCTCAACGATCCTAACCCTAATCCTCCGCTCGATATCTCCGATGATGACTTCGTCGACGTGCCGGACGACCTCCCCCCGCCCTCCCCACGCTCCGCTGAAGCCCCGCCCGAGGACCAAGGATCCGCCGCCGCCGCCACTGTAGAAATGGTGGAGGAGAGGGCTGGTTCCATCGGGCCGATCGATGAGTTCCTCCGGAAGCTCGGGCTCCGTCTCCGGCCGGACTGGCTGGAGTCGTGCGCCGACAGGTTGATGGCCGCTGGATCAGGATTTGAGGGCCTGGATGTCGCCGGGAAGGCCAAAAGGTGCTTCGAGCAGTTCCTTCTCTCCGATATGAATGTCTCCGGCGCCGGCGTCCTTCCGGAGAATGTGCACCTAATGCACAAGACCGAGCTTGAGGGGCCTTTTGTTGTTCAGGTAAGTGCTTCCTCCTCTAGGGTTTGCATTGTAGGAACTAGGTCCTATGAATGTAAATGCGCGTGTTTCCTTTATATTGATCTTCCGTTGAATGATGTGGTAAGAATTGGGAGAAAATATCCTTTTTGGTTACTTGGGGTCTGAATCACTGAATAGACTTAAATCAAATTAGTAATGTGGCCTTTTGGACCACTGGAGTCTGAGATGAGTTGATCTTCTTTTCTTGCTTTCTGCTTCTTCCTCTGGGTTGTATTGTTTTTGGGGCTGTTTTCATACCAAAGCAGGCACTAGTGGCTTGTATCCGAGGATACCATGGACTGTTGGACCTCACTGAGTAATAGGGTTGCGTTTTAGCTAGAGATTTCGTGGAGACATTTTTTTTTCCTTTTTTGGGTTCCCCTTTGTACTCTTTTGTTCTTGGGTTGCCGGGTGAGGTGGCTCTTGTTGGCAGATTAACGCTGTGTGTGTGTTATAATTTACTCATGTGATTCCGCATAGCCTGTTAGTGGGGTTCATACTTTTATACTGTTGTTTGTATTTTGCAACCGGTTTGTGCCTCGGTATAATAGTCAGAAATATTAAAGGAAGATTTAAAATCTACACTGAATATATTTATCTTATTTGAATATGATCTAAAGACTCTTAAATTATAATTGGATTGAGATATGATCTAGGAATACATTGCAAATCTCCTTGGGCTGGTTGAATATTTTGGACTAGCTTGTATTAAGATCAATCTTTGGTAACTTTGGTAAGTGTATGAGCTGGTTGTTCTCTGCTCATTTTTCTGGGAGTTGTCTCTTTCAAGTTTCAACTTTAGGATGTTACCATGTGTTTCTAATCAATCAATGTTGTGTATCCTTGGCCTCTTAATTGAATTATCTTTCAGTCTGCAATTTTTTTGTTTTCGCAAGTTGCGTAATAGACACCTATAGTTTGTCAAACTTCCTCAGAGTCTGAAGCCTTTCCATCGCCCTCTCAAGCTTTTTAAGCAATTAACTATCCACTTTGTCATCCTCTCCATCTGAAGATGATGCTACATAAGTCATGTTCAATGTAGAATTTTTAGTATGATGCCATTGTTTTGACTTTTGATGTAACTCATACTCCGGAGGCTTCATGAGTAATGGGTTAGCTCATTCTGAGACCAGTTAGGGATTAGTTGATAGATATCGGTAGGTTCAACTAACAGCTAAGGAATTAGGAAATTTTATAGTAGTCATTTCTCATTTGATATTACTTTCTTGTCATGGCACAGTAGTTTGGGCATGTGTCAGAACAAATACCATTCACCTAATGTCAGGCTTCTCCTTTTCCAGGTTGATGAAATAGTTAACATCTCTGCTCCACTTCGGGAAAGATATCACGACACACCTGCTGGATGCAAGAGATGCCTGAAATTGTCAATAACAGATGGTGTTCAACGTGTATTTGGCATGGAATACAGACCCATTAAAGAACTTGAGGTTCTTGCTGCTTCTGGTCTTAAGGTCTGCTATGAGGTTCTTTAGTGTCATCTCTTTCCAAGATTGCTTTCTATCTTGTCCAATCTCATTGGGCTATGATATGACCTTTTACATAAGATCTGGCTATGAATCATTGAATTCTCCACTGATGTCTTTTGTCCATACGATTTCAAAAAATGCCATTTGTTGTTGCTCGAGTTCAGAAATTGTCAAATACAGCTATTTTTGCCTACTATATAATCATTTTTATTGGCATGAATTGTTGCATCTCTCTTTACCATATCACACTTGGATAGAAATTCAGCATCAGTCAAGGGAGATTATGTTAGTTTAATGGATGATATTCAGAAGTTCAAAAATCTTGTGATGCAACATGTTAAAGTAGTTGACTTTTGAATCAAGTTATACTTGTCATTCAAGTTTGCTGCTCTATCCTATTCTCATTGTTTTCATCATTAAATTTAAATTATGTTTATGGAATTTGCCCTATCCATGTATAAGGTTGATTTTACATCTGGATATTTGGTTAAAATATTTTTCAACTCATTCTCACATGAAGACAGTCCTCTATGAATCAGTGAATAGTTTCAGAAACAGTAACTTACACACACATATGGATTAATTGATATCAGTCATATTATCATCACGATTTAGAAAGGAGGATGGTTTTATCAAGATGGTCGTTTTCCATTAAACATAGAAGAGATTCAATTTAACATGTTTTGTTGAATTCTGTCCATTTTGTGCAAGTATCAAGTTGTTCCCTGTTGGTATGTATGATGTGCAACTATTTTCTTGCATCCAGTAACAAGTCTGAATGATCAATTAAAGTTGCCCAAATTGGTTTTTTAGCTTTGTTCTTGAGTTTTCGACCTGTAGGCATGAGATGATTATTTTCTCTGGTTTTACTGCTTATCTTTGACAATCCTGTTATGACAATTTTATACAGTCTAGCTATACTTTTCATGTATGATAAGTTTTTAGCATTCGACATTGACTTTCTTGGTGGATCGTTTCCCATGGATTCTCAATATCTCAATGGTAAATTGTTATTGATGAATTGCATTGTTGAGGATTAAGACAGGATTTGGCAACTGTAGGTTGTTCTTCGTAATGTACACATACGAAGAGGACTTCTGCTGCTAGTCCCAGAAGCTTTTGCAATTCTTGGAGGGATGGCTGATGAATTAGATGCAGCACGGAAGAGGCTTGTTGCTGAAATAAATAAGCCCCCAAGAGGGATAAGGTACTCTTAACATCTTTGAAGAATTTTATTGGCCTTGTTTTATGTGTTCCTCACAGTGACATCAAATGCCATACATGTCCATTTTTTTAATTGTATACTGTATGTTTTCTTTGTCTTGTAACTTCACTTATATTAACTTGTGCAGGAAGCATGGTAATATATCTTCACTGACCACCAGAGCTTCTCTTGCAGCTTGGCCATCTGATTCAATTAGTTTGGGTCCACAGACAACTTCGACATTGCAAAATTCAAATGAACCTCAAATATTGAATCAAGGTACTCTGTCTTGTGAAGGATTACTCTTTTTATGAATTTCATTTTGTTTCTTAAACAAAGTTCCCATAATCATAGAACAGACCATGGAAAAATTAAGAAAGAAATTAGTTTCCAAATTTCTAAACACTGATTGTTTCTCGCTGCTAGAGTAAGAGTTTTCTGGCATCCATTGATTTGTTAATCTCCACAACCTTCCTTCTTCCTTTGTGATTTCTTCTGCATGTTCTAGTTATTTTGATCCCTGTGCTTGCACCTGTCCTTTAGCACGTTAAATTTCTCGTACTTTGAGAT